ACACACACACACACACACACACACACACACACGCATACACACACTGGATGCTGGCCTCCTCCAGCATTTCTTGGGCCTCAAACATCCCTATAGGGCATCTCTGTTCAGCCTCAGCTTCCTTTTCTCATGGGGAGAGGGCCAGAGTTGGCCTCTCTGTTAGTCTGGGGTCTGTGGTGGGTGAGGCAGTAATATAGCTCCTGTTTGGCAGTGTGGTGGGACCGGCCCTCACCTTCCGCATCCGACATAATGAACAGAACCTGTCTTTGGCTGATGTTACCCAGCAAGCTGGTAAATACTGCCTGGTCCCAGCCCCAGCCCTAGTAGGACATTCCTAGGCCTGTGGCTGATGCCCCCACCTTGAAATATTTCCAGCGCACACAGGCCCTGCCTGCCACCTAGCATAGCATGACAGGGGGTGGGGACCACATGTGGCTGGAGAGAGTCTGACCTACATCTTCCCTGCAGGGCTGGTGAAATCAGAACTGGAAGCACAGACAGGGCTCCAGATCTTGCAGACAGGAGTGGGACAGGTATGAGAACTGAAGAATCAGCTGAAACCCCAGAGGGCTGACGTTGCCCGCAAGAGATGGGGGCAAACTTGGCAGGAGAACCAGAGCTGAAACTCCTGGACCTGGCTGGCCCGCTGGCTTTGCCAAAGCAGCCCTCCCCCTTGCAGTTTCCTTTCTGGCCAGCAGATGGCCCCAGTGGCGGCTCTTCCCGCGACCCCCAGCCCCTATTGCTGGACCAGCCTTCCATAGGAAGGCCTCCTGCTTGGAGTAACGACCTGAGATGTCCATAGCCTTCTGGAACAAAATCTCTAAATTTTAAGGGAAGATCCTATGCAGAAAGGACACTAAATTCAAATATAATTATAAAACATATAATTTATAGATTTTAATTATAGTTAATATTTTGAGAGAGAGTGTGAGCAGAGGAGGGGCAGAGAGAGAGGGAGAGAGAATCCCAAGCAGGCTCCACGCTGTCAGCACTGAGCCCAACACTGGGCTCGATCTCACAATCCATGAGATCACGACCTGAGTTGAAATCAAGAGTCAGACGCTTAACCAACTGAGCCACCCAGGCACCCCTAAACTCAAAATAGATTTCTATTCTGCATCCAACACTGATGCCTCCCATTCTACTATTTGATTCCTTGCTGTGTCTCCAAACTTCTCTACATCCATTGTTTAAATGCAAAAACTCCTGGGGTGGGGTCATCCAGTAAGTTTCAGGCAGTGCAGTGTGGTTGAGCTCGTCTGATGGGGACTGAGAAGGAGGACCTTGGGTCTATCTGAAACCTTCTGCCTGTGCCACCATGCCCTGCCCTCTCAGCTTTGCCCCAGGAGACACCCTAGCAGGGAGTATGGCATATGGCAGGGGAGGACAGGGCTGAGGAATGGCTCCTACCTCTCCCCTGCCGCCACCTCCCCTGATTCTAGCCTTGTTCCCACAGAGGGAGGAGGCGGCCGCAGTCCTTCCCCGGCCGGCCCACGGCACCTCTCCCATGCGCTCCGTGCTACTCACTCTGGTGGCCCTGGCGGGTGTGGCCGGGCTGCTGGTGGCTCTGGCAGTGGCTTTGTGTGTGCGGCAGCATGCACGGCAGCGGGACAAGGAGCGCCTGGCAGCCCTGGGGCCCGAGGGAGCCCACGGTGACACTACCTTTGAGTACCAGGTGTGCAGCCCCAAAAGCTGGTTGATGAGAGGGAAATGGAAGGGGCTTGGGAGTCTGGGTCGCACATGGGGTGAGGGTGGGGTGTTGGATGGGGAGTGAGCACACATCCTTGGGAATATCCAGGCAGGGGCTACAGAAGCCCAAGCTGGGGTATTGGGGGGGCATTTCGAATGGATGGGAATTGGGAGATGGTTCCTAAAGTTCTTCCCAATGCAACAATTCTGGGTTTCTGGGATTCCCCTCTAATATCTGAAGTTCTCATAGGCACCCCCCAAACAGAACACCCTTGGAAAGGATGAGGTCCAGGGTAGAAAAGCCTACCCCACAGGAGAAGGATTTCCTGTAAAATCAATCAAGGATAAGCCTAGAATTGAACCCAGGACTCTGCTGAAAAGGCTTCAAGGGGCCTGGGACCCTGCCTGATTTTCCTTCTGCAGGACCTGTGCCGCCAGCACATGGCCACAAAGTCCCTGTTCAACCGGGCGGAGGGCCCGCCGGAACCTTCTCGCGTGAGCAGCGTGTCCTCCCAGTTTAGTGATGCGGCCCAGGCCAGCCCCAGCTCCCACAGCAGCACGCCATCCTGGTGCGAGGAACCCGCCCAGGCCAACATGGACATCTCCACAGGGCACATGATTCTGGTCAGGACTGGGCCCGGGCCCAGAGCCGGTGAAGGGACAGGATGGTGGGAGAGGCAGGGCTGAGGGTGTGGGCCGGAGCCAGGCTGTGCTATCCCCGTAGGCGTACATGGAGGACCATCTGCGGAACCGGGACCGCTTGGCCAAGGAGTGGCAGGCCCTGTGTGCCTACCAGGCAGAGCCCAACACCTGTGCCACCGCCCAGGGGGAGGGAAACATCAAAAAGAACCGCCACCCTGACTTTCTGCCTTGTGAGTCAGTCCTGCTGGCCAGCCTGGCCCAGCCCTCTCTCTGCTGGGAACTCTGGAGGGCTTGGGGGAGGGGCTAGCCGCCTGGCTCAGGCCAAGTGGCAGAGGGACCGGCACCCCAATGACCGAGGGGCACCTGAGGTGAGACGTGGGGTCTGTGCAGATGATCACGCTCGCATCAAGCTGAAGGTGGAGAGCAGCCCTTCTCGGAGTGATTACATCAACGCCAGCCCCATTGTAAGTGGCCCCAGCTCCAGCCCCCTCCTCTGCCCCATTTATATCCTGCCTGCATGAACTCCATTACCTTCTGGTCACCATCCACCCCACCTGAGGCCCTGGAATTGTGAGGCCAGGTATCCTGGCATGGAAATGGGGGTTTCTCAAGCTCACCCACATCCTGGCCTGCTCCCTTTGACCAAGCCTCTCCCCAGGAGCATGTCCCATTCTGGCTCATGATGTATCTTCCCTGCCCCAGATTGAGCACGACCCTCGAATGCCAGCCTACATAGCCACACAGGGCCCGCTGTCCCATACCATCGCAGACTTCTGGCAGGTAAGTTCTTGGAAGGAGGGCTTCTCCAGGGACCAGTGGCCTTTGAGGGCAGCTGGGGCCAGCTGAGTCCCAGAGACGTTAGAGTGGAGTCTCTGTCCCTAGATGGTGTGGGAGAGTGGCTGCACTGTTATCGTCATGCTGACCCCACTGGTGGAGGATGGTGTCAAGCAGTGTGACCGCTACTGGCCAGATGAGGGGTCCTCCCTCTACCACGTATATGAGGTCAGCAAGGCCCCTATAGCCAGGGGACAGTGGGAATGGAGAGAGTGGGTGGAGAACCAGTCATACATGTATGAATGTATATGCATATAAACATCCATATGCACACACACACATTCACACATACACTTACATCTACACATATGTGTCCAGTCTAGGGCCAGAAAGCATTTATAGGGACCGAAGGTGAAAGGTACAGAAATGAACCCATAAAACCACCAAAACTGAGGTAAGCAACTAAGAGTCAAGAGTATATGAGACAGGGAAGATAAGCAAAACCAAAGACCAACACTAAGACCTACTTTAATTGAGCCTCACTTAGCTCTGAGTTTCCTGGAAGCCAAAGCCAAGAAAGAAATACCATCAGTCACATAGGTTGCCCATAGAAGGCAGACGCAAACTTTTTCCTTAGGAGAGAGGCGAGGTAGGGGGGGGAACTGGGTAGAGGCAAAGCCAGACGAGGAAACAGGAACAGGTTCCTGACACATGGAAGGTGCCCCTCCTGTAAAACAAGAGTCACTAAGAGCACACTAGAAGCTTCTCATCACCAGGTGAGCCCTGAACCCGGAGAGTAGGTATTCCATCATCAGATGAGCACTCGGCAGTCTTTTTTAAACTTTTTAAAAATTGGTGTTGCTCATGGTTAAAGGGAAAAAATAAAACTATAGAAGTCCATCAAGCTTTGTGGTGTGTGTGGCACAGACACTTTGCTAGACTCTGTGAGGAAGAGGAAGGAGAAGCTCTGACCTCAAGAAGCCCGCAATAGTTGTGTCTAGGTGGAAAAACCACCAGTTGTCCTGAGCGGCAGATAAGAGACGCAGATGACTAGGGGGCTTGGGGACAGCTGGGACAGTTGGAGCAGGCAGTCGGGTAAGCTTCTTGGAGGATTTAGAATTTGAACCGGCCTGGGAAGCCGGGAGGACTTGGAGGGGCCCTGCCGTTCTCAGGCCTGGGTTCCCTCGCGGGCAGGTGAACCTGGTGTCGGAGCACATCTGGTGCGAGGACTTCCTGGTGCGCAGTTTCTACCTGAAGAACGTGCAGACCCAGGAGACGCGCACGCTCACGCAGTTCCACTTCCTCAGCTGGCCGGCAGAGGGCACTCCGGCGTCCACCCGGCCGCTGCTGGACTTCCGCAGGTGAGCGTCCTGAGCCTGCGCGGAGGCGCGGCCCCAAAAGGCTCCAAGGAGCCGGCGAGAGAGCCGTCCGCACGGGAGCAGGGGGTTGGGGG